TTACGTAAATAATTATGTTAAAGAGGAATAAACCCATTTCAAAAGAGGAAAACGAGTTACTATAAACAATATCTAATTTTGTTCATAAAGGTGAAAAAAGAGAAAGAATGGCTGATATTGGAAACTTCCGTGTGCGATTCGCTACAAAGCCAAACGAGTATCTCGACATCGTTGATGCGAAGGCAGCAATGTTAAAACACGCTTTTAGCAGAGCGGAACCATGGCGAACTGATCGTGCGTTTCGACGATACGAATCCTTCAGAAGGAAGCAACGAGTATGTCGATAACATCCTCAACGATATCGAACACTCTAGGAATCAATTACGTGGAAGTGACGCATGCTTCAGATTATTTCCCTGATCGTATGTTGATGGCTGAGAAATTTATCAGACAAGGCAAAGCTTATGTTGATGACACTGACCCTGATCTGATGTGTAAGCACAGGATTTACGGGGTTGAATCAAGGTGTAGGAATCAGAGCGTTGATGAGAATTTGAAGCTACCGAGGAACAAGAAGCACGAGGATGCTGGAGTAAAGGAGACCACATTCACCAAGAGGAGATTTGGATCGATCAAGCTGATGCAATGGCCATGTCTGTGAACCAAGAAGTGACCTTAATGGACTGGGGTAATGCAAACGTTGAGACCATCACCAAGGATCAAGGGACCGTCACCGCGATCACGGGGAATCTACATCTTGAAGGATCTGTCAAGACTACAAAGTTGAAGCTGACATGGCTTCCCGATTCATGTGAACTCGTCAACCTCACTTTAATAGAGTTTGGTGATCTATTCAAGGAAGGTTTCGATTATCCTCCTTTTGGGGTGAATGAGTGCACAAGAAAGGAGGTTTTGGCTTTTGGGGACTCCAATATGAAACATCTTAAGCGCGGCGATGTGGTGCAGCTTCAGAGGAAAGGCTACTTCATATGTGACGTTCCGTATGATACTGTTTTAAGATGTTTTATTGACTAATAATTATATACATAAAGTTCTTTGATTTGTGTAGTTTTAACATGTTAGGCTATATAATCATATTTATTGACTCAAGTGCCTAGTTATTTACATAATCTCTTTGAACTTTTTTTTTTTAATCTGATTCCACTCTCAAGTGCTTGTTACATAATATCAGAGTGAGGCCAAGAATCAACGATTCAGCCATGCACATTTCTATTATATAAACTTTTCTATGCGATTTCTCTGTTTGTAAATTAAATTTTGTTTCTTCTATTTCTATGTAAATGAATCCGCATTATGTAATTGAAAATCGATATTTCTCAACTACTATATTATTACTGTAACTTTGACAAAAAAAAAAAAAGAGAAAAAGTTGCACATTGAAATTTACTCGTTTACTTGCGAAAAGTTGGAAAAAATATTGTTATCAACTTTTTAATACATTTTCAACTTGTTTACACTACTTTTAAATTTCATCAAAAGTCAATATTTAGGCCACACAAACGGAACAATAAATTAATAATTAGAAGAAAAGCAAGATTTAGCGCACTGTTAATTACACAAGTTGCATAATAGAAAAACAATAAACAAATTAAAAAGTCAAATAAATTATTTAAACAAAAAACAGATTACAGGATTAAGAAGCGGTTAATCCAAGAAAATCAGCAGCTGATTTGGCCATGATATGTGCAAACTCATTGAAACTAATAACACCGTCACCGTTAGAATCAGCTTCCGTCATCATTTCCGTTAATTCACGGTAAGTCAACGGGTGTCCCATTTTAGCCATCGAACCTGCTAGTTCCGCCGCCGTTATCTGTCCGTTACCGTCACGATCAAACGAACGGAAAACCTCCATTAACTGTTCTTGGTTTATCAGGACCTCTTCGTTTAGATCCGGCAATATCGCCACCACGAGCTCGTCGAACTCGACGGATCCGTTACCGTTACGGTCGATTTGGTTAAGGAGGAGAGAGATCTGATCTCCTCGTGGTTTGATTCCGAGTGAACGGAGAAGAGCCGCGAGTTCGAGCTGTGTTAAGCTTCCGTCTCCGTCCATGTCGAATCGAGCGAAGATGTCTTTGAGTTGCTTGATTTGATCGGTGGGTTTCTTCGCAGACGCCATTGACGGAGGAAGAAGAAGAAGATAA